TGGTAGATTGAGGAGGTGGCACACAAGACCAATCGATGCTGCACAAGTCATTAAGGGCCGTAGGTTGGGATGAGGTAGAAGGCGTATTGTTAGCTGATGGACCTATAGAAAACATAACAATAGTTTAGATTTCCATATATTTACTATATAAACCACCTAAATTTCGCTGCGATGCATCCTCAGGAGTTGAAGGTAATGACTTAAATGAAGAGCTCGGTGGCGGAGGTGTAACATCTCCAATTAGATCTGCTTCTTTTTTCTTATTATTACGTCTTCCTAGGAGCAGCGAAGTGGGTATGAACAGCGATGAGTGACGGTGTTCTTTGGCAGCAGGTGTTCTGAAATGTCGCGAAAAGATGCGTACATGAACAAGTAAGGTAAATAAATATCGAGGCAGAATGTTACTTAGTAAATGATGTAGAAGGGGAAGTTTAATAATGATTAATTTTGTACAAAACTATTCATCTTCTTTGAAAAGAAATATTTTACTTTGGGAGATAACTATGAAATGCAAAGCAACCTTTGAACAAGATTCAATGTTCTTCTGTAGAAATTCTATATGAAATAAAAGTTTCAAATATACGAAAGAGCTCTTCTAACATTGTTGGGTCACATATTTCGCAGAAAATATTCAAAACATCTGCTCTCTTGGCTGCTTTATCGGTTGCCTGATATGAGAAAAAAATGAACGATGGTATTTTCTTTTCGTTACTTGCATTAGCTACGCACTATTCCCTATATCTCTCTTGTCATAGGATTGACAAAACAACGACCATCTCACCTAACAAGTGATGAGGAATACGTTATAAAATTAAAAACTTGCGTTGGTGGTTTCGCAACATTCACAATGGGAGAGGAAAGCTGTTGTGTCGGCGGTATTTGAACAGATTGGAGAAATGGGATTGGCAAAGATGGCATCGTTGAAAGCGCAGCCAAGGACTCGCCTTTCTAAGTGACACATCAGACATTAATTGTAATCGATGTTATAGCAGAGCTCACCTGAGCTAAAGCCATTAAAGCTAAACAAGAAAAGAATTCAGATCTGGTCAGTTGACCGGGAAGAGTTCGATTTACGGCAGACCAGATGTAAGAAAGAACTGGACGTGGTAGACCCGATGTAACCATAA